ATTAGGAAGTATTTGTCTCGTGAGTCCACCGAGAGGCTTGTTCACCCGTTCATCACAAGCAGGCTTGACTACTGTAATGGTTTATTGTACGGTGCTCCTGAGTATCAAGTTAAGAAACTTCAAAGAGTCATGAATGCCAGTGCTCGATTGGTTTACTGTGCACCTAAGTATTGTCACGTTACTCCTTTGCTAAGAGAACTCCACTGGCTACCAGTGCGCTTGCGCGCAGATTTTAAGATTCTCCTTGTTACATTTAAGATTCTTCACGGTGTTGCGCCTAGCTATCTTAAGGATCTTGTCTCTGTCTTACCGGACTCACGTTACCAACTACGCCGTAACAATAATGGTATATTGTTAGAAAGACCTCGGTTAAGAACGAAGAAGACTTTGGGAGATCGCGCGTTATCGATGGCTGCCCCCTTTTTATGGAACAGTCTTCCTCTGCCAATTAGACAGGAAACATCAATCGACTCTTTTAAACGCTCTGTTAAAACATAATTATTTAATAAGGCTTTTAGTTAGATTATTTATTTATTTATTTTTATTTTTATTATTTTAATTTTATTTTTATTTTATTTTATTTTTTTTAATATTGTGATTTTAATATTGTAATTTTAATATTGTAATATTGTAATTTTACTGGGTAATTTTACCGGTTTTTAATTTAGTTATTAATAATGTTGTAATGCGCTTTTGAGTATTTTTATAGAACAAGCGCAATATAAGTATTAAATATTATTAATATTATTAAACATTGATGGTAAGCAAAAATATATTTGTTACTAGAGAATTTCCAAGTAGCAAAAAAACTATTAGTATTTGCAACAATAGAACGTTTGGAGAAATGTTGTTGGGAATTCACAGCAGGCTCTTGCCCAAGGCTACCCTGGGTATCAGAGGTTTTTCTCGCACGCGGTGGTAATTTTCGGTGTTGGCCGAAGGCGGACACACCTTCGGCCGTAGGCCGCGGGTCACTATAAAGACTTTACAGAAACCGAAAACAGCGCTAGAAAAGTCTCTGGCACCCAGGGTAGCCCAAGGCGTTAAAGTCCCAGGACCATTTGCCTTCCTTGTAGCCTCCCACCCAGGCGTTTTTAGGGGAGCTCGGGAGGGATGGAAGACGAGCTCCCCTAAAAACGCCTGCGTGGGAGGCTACCTTCCTTGCGGTTTCATAGGCATATGACAATCTGCGGTAAGATGGTTGATAACATATTCGGTCACAAGCAATTCGATGTTGCGTCCGCGATTTCCAATTCTTAAAAAAGATTCTCTCTAAAAATTCCTCCGTTTCGAACAGTTACATGTAAACAAGAATGAGTTAACAGAACATTTGGATCTGTTGACGGTGATGTTACAAAAAGCAACGGAACAACGAACACAATCAAGATGCTGCGTTACTTATTGAAGTAATCTCGCTCTATTGTGCGCTCAAATGCAATGGCGCTCAAAACGACTTTTTCTCGTTTACACTGGGGCATAAATTTGCCTGTGTTTGACAAATACAGCAAATACGCTGGGGTACTAATTTGCCTGAGTCTAGCAAAATAGCAAATATCGTAATTTGCATGTGTTTAAGGAATACACTGGGGCATTAATTTGCCTGTGTCTAACAAACTACACTGGGGCATTTATTTGCCTGTGTCTAACAAAATATACTAGGGCATTAATTTGCCTGTGTCCAACAAATACACTGGGGCATTTATTTGCCTGTATCTAACAAAATACACTGGGGAATTTATTTCCCTGTGTCTAACGAATAAACTTTTGAAGTATTTACTTCTCTCTGTCAAATTTATTTATGTAATCCTTTACCAATACAATGGCAACTAAGATAATTAAGGCGTTTTAAAACTGAAAATTCCGATGATGTATATTTTTTAAACCAAGCTGGAACAAACCCTCTAGCCACGAAAAATATAAAAGCGATGAAAGAGTAGCCCAGTCCCACTGTTTTATTGTATTACATATCAGGCGTTCAAGAAAACTCGTGTACCTTAATGAGGAAATTTGCCGCTCTAAAACGTGTCAGGACTAATCCGGCATATAACACCTTCGTAAGGCTCGTCTTCTTTTTAGTATGGTTCCTGTTTCAGCTCCTAATGTGATTTAGGTAAAAACATTTTACCTAACCAGGGGGATCCAAATTTCTGAACTGGCCTAACCTGCTCATGATCTTAGCTTTTTTCCTTTGAGCTTTCAGCAGCTTTTGGGCTTCCTTTATCAGTGACCTGTATATCCCCTCAACCAAGCTCGAATTCTCTGTGGGATCGGAATTCAGTCATTCGTTAGTCCAGTCATCCCAAAATTTTTGCTCAATCTCGTAATCACGATGACTTTCGTGGCCTCTTTTAGTTTATCGGCTTTTCCCGCTTCCTAACCTGTGTCTCCAGGCCATTCCTTTAGAGAAGCTTCAGAAACTATGGAATGTGACTTGAAGCGGTGCAATTTTTCCTCTCGAGTCTTACGTCTGTTCAGCTGATCTGAATATGCTTTACAGAGTGTTGTCCTCCCATCAAGTCAAATCTTAAAGTCCTATGTTTATGTACAAGATTTCCATCCGGGTGGTTTGTGTATAAATGGTAACCCATCATCAATGGCGTTGACCTAGGACACCCAGGGAAAGTTAGTGGAAAGGAAATTAAAGATGGCCCTCTGTCAGTGCAACCTCGTTCCTAGGGTTCGAGGTTGCTCGGTATGCACAATAATAGCGGTGTGTCAGGCATGAAAATTTGGGTGATGTGTTACTTAAGTCGACACGAGGTCTTTTTCAATAATTAAAAAAAAATGAATTTTTTGGAAGGTTTGAACCCAGGAGTCACTTAATAAGCAGATTGTATATGATCGTCCGGGTGAACGTAATCCTGAATAGAACTGTTGTTGCTGACAGCTTCGACAACCTGTGCGGTAGTCATCTTCAGAGTCAAAGTGAGTTGTATCACGTCAGTTGATGGTATTAACCTCTGGTTACTGACCTGATTAGTCAATTAAGTGGCGATGTTTTTAGTCGCCTGTCAGTTGTTGTTTCCTAACTGTAAAATCGCCGAATCTCGTCTCGCAATAATTCCAATCCCGAATCTCGCGTCCCATTCTCTCTAGAATCCCCAATCGTGGCCATCAAAACCCAGTTGGAACCCTTCTTTATTGTTTGACTCGCGTCATCTGAATATTCTCCTCACATAACAGCAATGATGATATCATGTTATTTCAGGGCGGTGGACGCTGTTTCCATGGCCACAAAACTATTTTTGGCTCAAGGGCTAACGTCATCCGTTTTTTTTTTTTCCATTCAAGGCAGATCTAAAGCTGCGTCAACGTACAAAGGTCCAGCCTCTGCTCCCACCCCTTTTTTTACACCAAGTGTGCATGCGCAGATGGGGCAAGGTCAGCTTTATCTTGATTCCACTGCTGGACCACCACCTGTGGGATATGCCAACCGCCTGGCGTACCAAGGATATTCCGTGGAAATCATTGGTGGAAAGCACTATAAAACACCTGATGGAGAGTTTGTGGAGTTGAAGAGCGGCACACAGTATAAGATACAGGTAAAAAATTCCCATGCCTATGGTAAGGATACGTACATTAGTCCAATTAATGCACAGAAAAGACCAGTATGGAAAGTACCTCACGAAATTTGACGATTATCGGAGATAAATTGTTTAAGTTGTTTGAACAATTTTAAGCTTATGCTAAAAAATTACGTCCTTTTTTGTCATATTTCTCTACAACAGGTCATTCCATATGTCACGATGTTCGTTGTCGTGCAATGTTTGGTTTAACGTGCAAGCTATTAGATTTTTCCAACTCAGTGTCAGTCAAACATTGGTATAAAGAGTATAGTGGGGACAAAATCATCTTGTTAGCAGGATTTCAGTAGTGTTGATTAGAATGCTTTAGCATGTAATGCGTACTGATCTAGACAGTAAAAAAACTAAACATACACTCTAAAGTAAGCTTATGATTATAGCATTAATATCATAGGTGACGAATTACTCCTTAATTTTGGCGCAAAATTTCAGCGTTAATTTGTAATTTCACATGTGAAATTACTAAATTGCCATGGCAACCTTCCGTACGTCTCCGTTTCAAGATGGCGACGAAGTTTAAAATGTCATGAATGAAGATGTCACGGCATAAAAAGACGCTTTATAGTCAGGTCTCTTAGTGCAAAATATAGGCCGGATCGTTACAGACGTGACAAAAGCGTCAAATTTGGCACAAAGCTTTCTTAGCACCTACCGATTAATACTGGAGGGGGTGCCCGTTACGAATGGTCCTAATTACAGATAAAAGGGGGGGTTAATTTTCACCTATAATAGCAGATTGGGTGTCCTGTGGTGAGTACTCTTCTTGTTTGATTTGGCTAAAAAACATTTGTTGCAAATTTTTAAGTTTTTAATTTGGTAACGTTTAGTTGTTGTTACACTATTCAAAATAGTTTTACATGTACATAATACTGACTAGTGCCCAGTCTCCACACGGTAAGTGTGGCCATGTTCATTGTGCGGACTGTGCGGCTATCAGTGTCACTGCTAAGACTTGCCAGTGATAATATCATTACATATCAATTTAAACAGATCACAAAGCCAGCTTTCAAAGATGTCATACAATAACATAAAACTCAAATGTATCACATCCTAAACGATAGAATCGTTAAGTTTGACATGCCACATGAACGACCTCATGAACCGTAACTGACAACGCGCCAACTTTGTAATTGTGCAGCTAAGATTAGATTATAATTTGCTTCGTTGGTAACCCTGTCCTTGAGATAATGATTACAACATGTCAACCTCGTCCTCAGGGGGAAAAGGAGGAGCAAGGGTGGCACAGTTGGGTAGTGCGCAGCCTTCGGGGCGAGAGGTCCCGAGTTCGAACCCGGTGTCAACACCTCCTTATTTCAACTTCTCTTTTTTCTGTGTAGCTTTGACTATCTTTAAATACCTTTAAAACGGAGAATTAATGGAGAGAGGGGGGTAAAAGGAGCGCACCGTCGACCTCAAGTTTATCACTTATTATTACTGTCACGAGTTATTGACGTAAAATATGGTCGCTTTACCTTTTTCTACCTTTTTATTAAGCCCTGGGGACGAGGTTGTAAAACATGCCTCTCCAGGAATTTTTAACACTCTTTATTTTTTGCACATTTGCATTTAAAAATAAGTGTATGAGATCCCTGCATGCCTATACACCTGTAAGCGGCTCATTCACTTCAGAGCCCTTGGACCAGAGTGTTAATGGTACGTCTAGACGATCTTTCAAAAAAAAAGGAAGGTCGTCGCGTGCGTTACAATTTACAAACAAACTAACTTCAGAAGAGCTGAAATTTACAGGAACAAGGCCTCTTTTAGCCAACCAATGGTGCATCATTTATGAAAATGAATGTAATTTGTTTGATGCAATTGGGCGAATACCCCGTGGTTACGAAATCTTACGATCATGAATTCCTCAAGAGCAATTCAGTTACCAGCTTTTCACAAAATAATGCTATGGAAAATTACATAAAATACCAAAAAAGCAAGGGTAAACAATAATTATGGCCTGGTCCCTTATAATAATGGAGTGGTCATGATAAAGAAGCCCATCAGCCCCAACTTTGACCACTCAAACAGATATTGACAGATTACATACTGCAAAACTTTGCATTCACTTATGCCTATGTTGCCACACCAGGAGCCTAGAAATCGGCTCCTGGTCACACCTTGTTTTTATTGCTGAATATCATTCTAAAGAGCTTTACGAAATATTTTGTTAGTAGGGGTGTTTTGAACATGATTGATATTTAGAGATGGTGACAAAAACGAACACAGCAATAGTCACAAAACAAGACGCATGAAACAACCGCAATCTAATATTCGTTTAACACCGATATAATGGCTTCTTTGGCTGCTATGCTGACGTTCTTGAAGATGGCCGGTAGTATCACAGCTAGTCCCGGATTAGGTATACCGTTTATTACCAGTTTCACGGTTCCTGAGACTTAGGGCCTGTTAAAATAAAGGTGGGAGACCCTAGGTAGGTGAGGTAACCTGCTTAGGTAGGGTAAAGAAATAACCCTCCTTTACATGCAATCTTACAACCCCGCCATCCTGGGGTGCAGTTTCTCAAGATTATATGAATGGTAGCTAACCATGTAAACAAGAAAAATGCTGGCAAACCACGTCTACGCTCAATTGCTGCTCTTGCTGCAACCTTCAGTGTTGTGGCTTTCTATTGTTACCTTTAATATTAATAATTATGTGAAGCCACCCAGCGCCAAAGTGAATTTTGCGCGAATTTGATGTATCTCGAATCCGACCCCTACTAGCCTGGGTTTTCTCACCTTGAAACGTTGACATGGCAAAATTTGACCTCAGCTGAGAGGGTTACCTGGTGTGGTAGACCGGGCTACACACCTTGAAGGGTGACCCCACCTATCATGTAAACGTGATCAAATAAAAATGAGAGATTATATGGACAGGCGGGTTACCCCACCTAAGTGGGTTACCATTCCTACCTGGGGTCCCCTTCCTTCATGTAAACAGGCCCTAAAAGTTAGCCCGGCCCCCTTTCTACAGTTTCAGCAGTTAAACTATTCACCATTTATCATTTGAGTCAATCTTGTACCACTTGAGTCTCACTTTTACGACTTGATAAGCTGTTATTATTTTTGGACATGAGTTCTTCAGTGCCAAATGTAGAGGCTTCATGATAAACTGTGCTGTTTTTTGAAGCTTGGGCTAACTTGTTTCTTTTTTTCGTTTACGAGACCAGATTTTTTTTTGTTTGTTTTTGCTTTGTAAAGCTTAGACAAACTGCGGAAATTGTAAATGATATGACTTGTGCCACGGTGCTTGCTTCTCTGTCAAAACATGCACTTGCGTCCAGCAGATAACTGGATAAAGAGAGACTGAAAGGCATCCAGGCCTATGTTAAGCTGAAAAATTAATTACCTCCCTAGGAAAGAACTATTTTGGGTTCTGTCATTTCGTTATTTGCTCTTCATGAATAGCTGTCATAAATCCCTGATAATATGTGATACAATAGACTCTTTGACAATTTCTTTTTTCTGAAATTTTGTTTGCTTTCTTCAGCTTAAAGTGACATGTAACGACAAGTAATACTTGATAAATAAGGCTTAAGCCACACAATAAGGCCTCCTCTAATTGAAATACATTAGAAAAGGAGAAGAGACCCCAGAAGCTGAGTACTTGCAAGTTATGAAGCAAAGACGAGGCCATCTTAGAAATGACTTACGAAAATGTGCGCGGACTGTGGACTTGCTTTTAAGGGCACAGTAATAATCAACCTAATTACACAATCAATGAGCAAAAATGGATGGGAATGCCAGATGTTCGAGTGAAATTGTTGTTTACAACCTGAGAATAAAATTCAGAGTGATTTAAGGTATTAAATAACAATTTTCAATCAAAACACCACAGGAACCCCAGCAGGTGAAATTTACAATAATTAAATACTGTTTAGCACGCTTCAGTGGCATATTTGCATTGGGCACCTCCTCTAATATTCATGGTACTGCAATAAGCTATCGCTGTGCAAAGTTTGGTGCTTTTGTCAACTCTGTAACGATCCTGACCCTAAGAGACCTGACTATTAGAAAACCTGAACACACGAAAGAGCACATCAAGAAGGATTCTTAGAGGTATGTTGTCGAAAAATTCCGAAAACTTAGGCCAAATTTCAGCTCTAAACGTTTGAGAGAGTGGAGTTCACGATCGATCGATACGATCCAGGATAAACAAGTCAAAAATCCTCGATTGCTAAGGTAATTCGTCACCCATGATATTAATAGGTAATCAAATGGTATACTCGTGAAGTTAGGGAATAATTTCAGTTGCGTTTTGTCCAAATCCAAATAATTTCCAGAGCCTTTAGGCGAGGGAAATTATAAGGATTTGGACAAAACGCGCGTGAAATTATTCCCTAATTTCACTCGTAACCATTTGATTACACACACTAATAATATACATGAAAAAATTACTCAATTCTGATTGGCTGAGAAAGGAGTGCAGCTCTTCTGTAACACGAGTACAAAATGTGTAACACGAGTGCAAATTAGAAATGCTTTCTGATTGGCTGAAAAGACGAAAGAAACCAACAAGAACCAATCAGATTAGAGCTGTTTCTATAGCAACATATTGGCGGAAAATTTGAGATAAGAGACAGGGAGTTCCACTCTTCCAAGCAAGTTTTAGAGGGGAAAGCTCGGTAGCTTCGCTAATCAGGTATGAGCAAACGTCCAAATAAAGCCAGAAGTTTAACTGACGAAGAAGAAGAGGTGCTGTAGGAGGCAGAAAAATCTGGTTCCAAAACTTCAGAAGCGCTTATTTCTTCTATGTGGTGGCTTTTGACGCAGTTCTTTGGTCTCCGCGGCCGCGTCAAGAACACCACGCATTGAAAATGGAAGATTTTCAACTCTGCAAAAATGGAGTTCGTGCAGTTTACCGAAGGTCCAACGAAGACCAGACAAGGCGGACTGCAGTGCCAGAGCAGAGATTTTCAGCCACGAATGTTCTCTGTTGGAGGAGAAAGGTGTCCGGTTGCTCTCTTCAAGCAGTTTGTCGAGCGAAGATCACTAAACATGCGATGGTCAGGTCCTTTCTACCTCAGTTTCAAAAGAAACCGAAGACTGAATGACAACATCTGGTTCAAAACTCTACCAATGGGCGAAATCACTATTAGCAACATGATGAAAACAACTGTGGCGGATACTAGCCTTGAAGAAAGTCACAAAAAGTTCACGAATCACAGTTCTAGAAAGACAACAGTCAGCAAGCTAAAGAAAGCAAACGTTGAAAGCTCAGATATTGTGAAGGTCACAGGCCACCGAAGCGTACAATCCCTTGACGATTACGATGAAGCCGACGTGGAAGAGCAACGACGACTCTCCAGTGCAATATCCAAACGAAATGATGAAACTCCAGTGCTGAGAAAAAGCAAATGGCAGTTTCCGACATCACAACAACTGTGGCTCCACTCGCTCCGGTAAACCCGAACGTGCCCGTACCACACACATTGGCCGGCCCATCGATGACAACGTCGAAAGAAAACCAATTCCCGCCATCGTTTTTACGTTTTCAAGCTCAGGATTTCAACCATGAATCCAACCATGATAAGGTCCCAGGAACAGACCATGATGAAAGCGTTCAACAATTGTCAAGTACCTTTCATCATTGGCCGCTCGAAGCGAGATCCTGAGATTTCAAAACGGTAGCCCAGTTCTTGTAAACGCCGAGCTTTCATTATTGAGGATGATTCTGATCGAACGTTTACTTTTCCTGATTATTGTAAATCGAGTTTTCTTTACATAAATGTAAAACGGTTGAAAGGTGTTAAATCAATCCATACATTTCCAAGTTCTAATTTGAATGATTTTGAAAGTGTCGGTCTTGTAAAAGTTTGCATTTGACAAACGTAGTAATCTGTTTCAGCTAATCAGTTGAATGAACTAAAAAACCGCGCCCTGTCAAAATATTTTGTTGCAGTTATTTTTTTCGTGTATATTATTAACAAGTAATCACATGATTTTTCTCCTGCAATTTGGAATAAATAAGCACTTGTAAATTTTTGTTAAACTTTTGTTGATCTTTGAAAAATTTACTCGTGCTTATTTATTCCAAATTGCACTCGAAATCATGTGATTACCTATACTTATTTTAGTGCAGTGTTTGAAAGCCTGTACATCTTTATTTTGGTCACAGCCTGTCGTAATAGTACGATGCTTAAGACAGCCTGAACTTTCCCGGCACTGCTTTCTTAGTCTATGATCGTGGTTAGTAGAGGAGACTAGTTAGACATAATCTCTAGTAAATTTCTTCTTTTATATTTTTGTACATGAAACGCGTAGATATTCTGCCAGTTCCTCATTATTAAGCAATCTCCGTAGCGGCGCATATTTTCAAAATACCAAATAAGATGTATATAATACCATTTTCATGGCAGTGAACTTACCTTCGGTTCAGGTTGCCAGATTAGCTTGTCCCCCAAAGCATTGTCTTTATATTTTACCATACTCTGCTTACAAGTAAATTATAAAGTAGTAAAGAGGGAAGTGGGGGGGGGGGGGGGGG